ATACAAGAAAAATGGATGAAAGAAAACATAAAGGCAGAAATTATGTTTATAATTTTGTTGGAGGTTTAACCATATTTTACCGTTTCAACTTTGCTATAAATTATCCGATAGAAAGACGCTTCGTTTCATTATGACATGACATGGTGCTACAGATTGGTTTGGGTCACGGTCCTCCTGGACGAGTAGCTTGATTTATTTAGGTGCAAGTTTATTTAGCCATAATAATATTTATGTATAGTTTATGCAAAGTTGCTCACTAACGACAAGTCTTCGATAATCTCGGTAGTAGTGCTTTTTTTTTATATGATCATTTCAAAGTTTAATTCAACATTGATGCAATATGATCATAACATTGCTCTTTTAAGAATTGTGGAACTGGATACTGTCAGGTTAGAAGAGGACGCAAGACATGTGTTTGTTACCGATGTGCCAATGGCGGAAACGTTCCGCTAGATGATTTGATTGGCAAAAAAGGAAAATAGTTGTGAAGCTATGTGTAAATCTCCTCGAAACTCGTTATTTATTTACATAAATAATTTACGTTGATGTAGGTGGTGATGCACAGAAAACCACAAATATTACTTAAAAAAGCTTTAATGTCATGTAATCTCTAGTCTAAAAACAGCCCATTCCACGACGGTGATGTGTCATTTACAACTCCGAATCCGCTACTTGATAAGAGCCAATAAATCAAGTTTTCTGCCAGAATTGCCATGTTAATGCTCTTCCTTTTATTTCTTCCATTGGCCAATTCTCTACAGTGTTATGAGTTTGTCGATCGTCAAATAGGTGGCCAAATCAAACACGGAGAGAGGGTGAGAATTTTTTTAAAACTTTCTAAAGGGAAATTAAATTATAAGAAAAACGTAGTATTTGCAAAATCAATCAATCCAATTTTTGGGTGGAGCTCTTTAATTACCAGTTGCACGCCGTATATCCATAGGAGATCAGCTGTCAGGAGTCTCGCTGCGCATTAATAGTACTGTAAGCGAACTCTGCGCTTGAAATATCATTAGCGCCGCCCTTATTCAAGCGAGGAG